AAAAAGGCTACAAAGGTCCCAAAGGGTTCTGATGAAATCATCTGGAATTATAGTTTAGTCCACCTCTACCACAAATCAAATCTCTCTTCAACTAATTCAAGCTAATAAGTCAACCAATTTTTTAAGCCATTGCATGTAGCCCTGCACTAAGAAGCCTTTTGTTCCCTCATATTGACTTTCCCATCTCCTACACACAGCTATTAAAAACCCTTGAAACACACACTTTTCAATAAATACCGAAGTCATTACCAAGTTTGACCTCTTCCTTGCTTTCAGGATAGTCTTCATTAAAAAAGAACCATTTTCTCCCACTCATACTCACCCTATCACAGGTTCTCCAAGTGTGATCTATTAATTCCTGAGGGCCTTCAAGATGCCGGCCAATAACTCACATGGTTAAACTACTTTAATAATAATACTAAATTAAATTATTATTTCTTTTTATTGTATTGACATGTGCACAGTTTTCACTGATGGTGCAAAAACAATAGTAGGTGAAACCACTGTAGCATCATGCATCCACAATCCATCAATCAATTAACCAACAAAGCTAATTTCACTTTAAAATGTCCTTAATGATGCAGTATCATTAAGTCTTGGTCCTTAAATACATAAGTTTTTAATGTTATTTGTGATGAAATGGGAAATATATTCAAAGTATGTCTGCCCCACAGCAAAATATGATGGTTGTTTTAAGGAAAGCACTTGGGCACAGTTGGAATTGCCAGCTGCACCATGGAACTGACAGACAAGCAGTGCAATTCAGGAGTGCTTGAAAGTGAATGAAAGAAGCCTATTACTTTCAGGCAAACAACTGACAGTATTTGTTACCAATGGCAATATTTGTGCTTTCAAGGGAAAAAAAATTTTTGGAAAACTTCTATGGACCACCATGAACTTGGCAGCTTTCCATTACTTCAAGAGTCTTCTGAGGAGGTCACTGTAGATATTAACAAATGTAGTTTTTCTGGTTTTGTTTTGTTTTTTACATAATGAAATGTATCAATAGTGGGAACATCTCATAACTCAATGAACTAAAAGTTTCCAAATGTTCAATGTAGTTTACAAAACCATGCAAGGGTAAAAGATCCATTCAAAGTTCATGACTCACCAGTGGATTCTGATGTAACAGTGGAAAAAGTTCACTGCTAAGCTTCAGAGCCCACACTAATTAGCCTGTAAAAAGTAGCTTTTAGAGTGTTGATACAGCTCAAAGAAGAGTATCTACAATTATCTGAAAAGGCTACTAAAATATTCCTCCCTACTCCATTTACCTTTGTGTGAGGCCAGACTGTCTTCATATATTCAACCAAAACAACATATTGCAACAGAGTAAACACAGAAGCAGAAATGAGAATCTGGGTGGCTTCTGTTACACTAGACATTAGAGTTTAAAGTGCAAAAGAATATCATTCTTCTTAGTACTTTCTGTTCATTCTAAAAATAGTTATTTTTTTATTTAAAAGTCAATTATGTTACCATGCAAAAGTTTTATTACTTTGATTTTAATCTTTTTTTTAAAATATATTTTATTGATTTTTTACAGAGAGGAAGGGAGAGAGATAGAGAGTCAGAAACATCGATGAGAGAGAAACATCGATCAGCTGCCTCCTACACATCTCCCACCGGGGATGTGCCCGCAACCCAGGTACATGCCCTTGACCGAAATCGAACCTGGGACCTTCCAGTCTGCAGGCTGACGCTCTATCCACTGAGCCAAACCAGTTTCGGCTGATTTTAATCTTTAGTGTTGAAAGTATTACATATGTCCTCTTTTTCCCCATTGGTTAGTGATGAGATCACTATAGACAGGCACCCGCCCTCCTATTATTTCTTATTTTAAATGAATATTAAAATTTTTCCCAGTTAAAATTTCTAATACAGTAAATATGCATAGATATAACACATACTAGAGGCCTGTTGCAGGAAGATTCCTGCAAGAATAGGGCTTCCTCGGGCCTATTCCTTGCAAGAATAGGGCTTCCTGAGACCAGAGCGAAGCAGAGAAGGGAGCGAAGCCCACCGAGGCGGGCTTGGCTCCCTTCTCCACTGCCTCGCTCCCTCCCATCGCCGCTTCGCCCTCAGCTCCCTCCCTTCTCCGCTGCTTTGCTCCCTCACCAGATCACGGATCCAAGACCCGGATCCCCTGGACAGCATCGGGCACTGCTGGCCACGCCTTGCCGGGTCACGGATCTGGGGCTTGGGTCCCGCGGGCAGCATCGTGTGCTGCCGGCCCCACCTCGCCAGGTCACGGATCCAGGGCTCGGGTCCTGCAGGCAGCATCATGCGCTGCCGGCCCCGTCTGCAGTATGCAAATTTAACAGCTATCTTTGTTGGGTTAATTTGCATACTCTTCTGATTGGCTAATGGCGTAGCGAAGGTATGGTCAATTAGCATCTTTGTCTTTTATTAGTGTAGAGAACACTGTAATTTCAGTTCTAATATTTCCATGTGGTTCTTCTTTATATCTTTTCTTTACTGAGTCTGTCTACATTTTCATTTGTTTCAAGCATGTTCGTAATTGCTCCTTTAGGCCTTTTTATGATGGCTGGTGTAAAATCTTTATCAGGGAATTTCAACATTGTGTCATTTCTGATTGTCTTTCCTCATTTAACATTTCAAAAGGCTAAGATTTTCCTGATTCTTGGTATGGTAAGTATTTTTCAATTATACCCTGGACATTTGGGGTATTATTACCTTACAAGGCTGTGGATATTATTTATCTTGTTTCAGCAGGCCTCTGCTGACACCATGCCAGTGGTAATGGGGGCTCCACGTCTATGGCACTGGGTGGGATGGGGTCTGGCTCCCCAGAGGATGGGGCCCTGCAGACTTTGTATGGAATGCAGCAGTAATTATCAAAGAGGTCTGTCTCGATGAGCTGCCTTGCCCCTTCCTGCTCTTCTTGGGGCTTCTTCATCTCTGTGGGTTGGTATTCCCAGATTTCAGGTTTTTCTGGGACCAGCTAGGTCAGAGAGATGGCAAAAAAGAAATGCAGAAAATTCACTGCTCACTGCTCTGCAGGTTCCTGTCCCCTATTTCTCTCCACCTCTCAGAGTCATATTGGCTTTAAAATTCCCAGCAGGAGAAATAGGAAAAATGTGCTTATTCCATCTTGTCTAGTCATAGAGTCATTAATAATTTTTAAAACTGTAAAGGGGTCTTAAGACTAAAACGCTGCTCCAAAACTGGCTGATGCTGATCCCCAAGGGGAAAGCAACTCCATAAAAGCCAGGATCTTTACCTCCTCATACCAGAGAAACCCTTAGCTATTGCCTCAACCTACATTAAGATGGAATTCTTTAAGACAGGGGACAGGCCACATCTCAACAGTAGAAGAGAATCAGAATTGCCCATCTATTACTGTTCCATCCCCTTTAAAAAAAAATCTTGCATGTCATAAATGATTAACCATATACAGAAACAACTCCCTGTATAGCTACAGTGTGAAAACTGGTTTACTTAAATCTGTTCACATCAACCCAAAAAGAAAAGTTGAGACATCCCTGTTATTTTGTTCTCTTTATCAGATATATCCCAACCCCCACTCATGTCTCAAAACTCCTGTAAAGAATGACATGAAAGTAAGCAATAGACAGATACCAAGTCTGGGTTGTAAAACAATAATGATAAAAATTGAACTTACATTATTGGCAAATACTCGAAGATCAAGTGCTACTGCATACATGACAGGCAGAGCCCTACAGGGGCAAAAAAATACAGGTGTTTGAAGAGGCTACGAGGTCAGAGAGCCCATTACCAGAGGTGGGACTGACATCTACACACAAGGCTATTATCCAGAATAGGAGTTAGCCCCTCTCCAATAATCCAATGGCTACTGTTACGTTCCTCATCATCCATCAGGGCAGCTTGCAGCCCTTGTGCTTCCTGATCAACACAGAGGCCAGACACTGAAGCTCTCTACACCTACTACCCCAGGTCCTCCTCAGAGACTTAGACCCGGGTCCACGTAGGGGCCCTCAGACTGAGGCAGCACTTCCTCATTGCTCCCAGGACATCCTCCTTCTCTACTCCCCACAATTATTCAAATAATGAGGTTTAGTAAAATTTCCTAACAGCAACCAGAGTATGCAACAGACAAAATGTCATAAAACAGATTTTTTTTAAATCTAGCTGGCTGTGTTGGTCTTCTTTTCATGGGTAAATAAGCCTTCACTTTAAAAAGGGGCGTGGGGTTTTGTTTTTGCCTTTTTTCCAATATAAACAAAATTTCAGTGTTTGCCTACGGTTTGTAAACACTGATAAAATCATAAAATTAAGAATTAGTTTGGCAAACAATTTAAAATAACCCAATTATTATGTATTATATCATCCAAATGAACTGAGTGATCTACCTCTTTTGTCCAAGTTTAAAAGCAAAAATAACAATTGAAGGGAAAAAAATTATATTTAATAAATATTTGGGGGCATGCAAGGGCTGAAATAAAAATACTTCATTTTTATATAAACACACTGCAAATAATCTGGCTGATCTGCCATTTAAGTTTACAATGACTATTAAAATTCCATTATCCATGTTGACATTACATCAATACATATTAAATGTCCACATAGAAAATATGATACATATTTAACTAGATTACATTTTTTTAAAGCTTCTGGGGGAAAAAAAAGAGGCTAATTTCTAGTTGTTTTTGTTCATACTTACCAGTTTTCTTCTTTGTGGGCCTGAAATGCCCGCAGGAATGATGTACTACATTAAGGTATAACATATAAAATTTAAATAATGCTGCAAATAAGAAGAATAAATAAGGAGAATTCTAAACTTTCAGGGGGATAGCTCACCATTTAAAAAATTATAAACTCATAGCAGTAAGTTCTTGAGGAAAAAAATGTATAAACCCACTTACAAATATCTGAGTATCATAAGGTGCAAGTACTAAATATATTTATTTCATACATACTTTCTCCAAAGTAAGAAAAAGACCATTTTCATAAAATAATTTTTTAAAAAATGATTTGAAAAATCCATGCAAGAGAGAAACATGGATCAGTTGCTTCCTGCATGCCCCCTAGTGGGGATCGAGCCTGCAACCCTAAATGGGAATCGAACTGGTGACCGATCAGTGTACACGATATCACTCAACCAACTAAGCCTCACCGGCCAAGGCACAAGATTTTTTTTAATTGGCAATCACAAACACTTTATTTGGTTACTCTGATCCCAGATGATCACAACTTTTATGTAACTAGAGGCCCAGTGCAGGAATTTGCGCACGGGTGAGGGGGCTCCCTCAGCCTGACTGGCGATCGGGGGCATTTGGGGCTGATCAGGGCCGCTGGCTGGGGGGAGGGACCGCAGGAGGTTGGCTGTGGAAGCGCACTGACCATCATGGGGCAGCTCCTGCATTGAGCGTCTGCCCCCTGGTGGTCAGTGCATGTCATAGTCTGGTCACCTGGTCTTAATGGTCGCTTAGGCTTTTATATATACAGATGGGCTATGGAATCTATAGTATAAAGTTTAATTCATCAATTATAAAATTGCTGAATTCAAAGCAGACCTAATAGTTAGCGAACAACTCTCTTCTGTGTATATTTAAACAAGATGGTTAAAAAAAAAAAGCAAACTGAATCTAGAGATACATATAAATACTAGGACACTCACTGACTAACGCTAGGGGCTTAGTTATAAGCTTTCACTTCAATGATTTAAATCAGAGTTTGGCTTGATTAGGTCTTTTTTGACCACAATTAAATGGTGATGTGTGTTGAGTCCACTTTTGTCCATCTATACCTGGATTTTGGAGTTCTGATATTCCACTAAGGGAACGGAACCAGTCCCTGTAACTACATTTAATGCTTCAGAGGCAACAAAATATTCTTCTTCATAAGAGAATTAAATTAAATCCTTAATCATAACCAAATCCTTAGAAACTTAACTAGATGATAGGCTTAAGACCTATGCTAAATTTAAATACCAAGTAAAATAGGTAAATAGGAGTTTGTCTTCCAAAAAGTTTTAATTCCTTTCCTAATTACAGGGATAAATAAAATTAGCCCAAGGTCTCAAAATCTTAAACCTCAAGTAATCCACTGTATGTTATAAACTAAACAATTAACAGATGACAAAAGATATTGGACGATGACAGTCTGGCATTTGTATGCCTCTATGAAGTCATGGTTCCCCACTGCGTACGTGCACCTGGAAAAGAAACATTGGAGCCTGAGGACTGAAGCAGCAGACAAGGCATTCCCAGGATAAAATCCTAGAAGTAAACTCCATAGACCACACATCTTCTATCACAAACACCCCAGTTCTCAACTGATCCTGTAGTGAAAGAGGGACCTTCTGCTTGGAAGACTACATAAGTTGAAGAAACACACAAATAACTATTTGAAGTAAAATGGGTTGGTATGTTAGGAAATCCCACATTATGTTTTGAGACTATTCTTTCAAGTCCCAGAAGGAGAACCTAGCTGCCAGCAGGTTTTATTAGTAACATGCACTGATAATACAGTATGGCACTTTAATAAGTGATGACTCTCCAACTAGATGCCCAGCTGGTCAGAGTCATTCTTAGTCAGTTCATCAGCAAATCTGGAATCTCATGGCATACTGCACAGAGCTAGGAAATTGAAGGGTACCTTATACTACAAAGAACCCAGTGGCACCTCGACTTTTCCTAAGATCTCACAGGGCTACCCGACCTTGCCTCCCCACCCCACCCACACCCCAACTCCAGGCTGCTCTGAAACACTGGAAGGATTGCAGGCAGGGAGGCAGTCAAACACCACATACTGTAAGGACATAAAACTTTGCCTGAATTGATGGTTTAGAGATAAACGTAGATGAAATGAAATGTAAATAAAAAGTAATATCTTATTTGCTCAGCTGTAGTTTCTTTCCCAGTTAGGCAAAGAGATTAAAAGCGAGGCATATTTCCCTGAGAAAATACAGTCAAATGTGGGCTCTGCACAATACTAAACAAAAGATCACTATACAGCCAATATAATGAGTATCAAGTGTTGGTTTTTTTTAGTGACACACAATAGACATATACACACTTTTCTACTTTTCCAAAGTAATTATTAATTGTTTCAAGCATTAGATGATGTTAAATAAAATCCTTAGTCAATTCAGCAACTCCAAGATGTGCTTATTTTACTTACCTTAAATGAGCTGCAAACATTTCATCATAAGGGGGTTCCAAAACTTGTTGACACTTCTCTTCTGGAGAGGCCAACTAAACGAAATGATAAGATGAAAAATTGGCAAAAATAAAATTAAAAGGCATGGAAAGAACACAATGTGTACAGATTTAAACAAACCTATTTCAAAAGAATATAGACTTTACAGTTAACAGTAACACTTTATAGTTTAGTACTTCTAAATAAAAGGTTCACTGTTTCAATAAATATCAATCAAGCATGAACTATGGATAGAGCACTAGATTAATACAATGTTTTGTCTACCACAGGCTAGGAAACAGGGTACTTTCATACATACCTTAATGTTTCATACATACCTTAATAGTTCTTGCCAGTCAGTCAAGAAATATTTAATAAGCAGCTACTATGTGCTTAATAATTAATAAAGAAAGTGTATAATACCTTACATAAATAAGGTCTAATGAGTTAGAGAAGGCATGTTAGGAATCACTCCTTCTCAGCTTCCTGGTGACAGAACCACCCTCTCTCTGTACTGGTCTAGACTAGTTGACATTTACTTCTCTTTCCTCTCAATGACCAAATTTTAGGTAATATAAGCATTACAATGGATTATAAAGCACTCTGAATTAAAAAAAAAAAAGGAATCAATGAGTCTACTCTTACACTGATACAATACATATGTAAATGTGGGAGGGAAAAATGACATCAGAAAAATCACCACTCTACAATCGCTAATGAAACAATTGATTCGGACAAGGCCACCAGTGAATGGAACCATCAAATGGAAGGTTAATGGGGAGTTTTATATAGAAGAAATCAGCCTTAGATTATAAATGGACAAACAGACATGTGTGTCCCTGATGTGCACCTGAATCTCATCAAGTCTCTGGTACTAATTTCTATTTAGAGCAATGGTTCAATGTGTTCTGCACATTAGAACAACCTAGGAAACTTTAAATTATTTTTTTAAAAGCCTGCTTCTACTCCAGGAACTGTGTGTGGGTTTTTTGGTGTTTGTGTGTTTGTGTGTGTGTGGGTGTGTGTGTGTGTGTGTGGTTATGTTTTTTGGTTAATCCTCACCTGAGGGTATTTTTCCATTGATTTATTTATTTATTTTTTATTTTTTTGGTTGCCTCTTACACAAGCCCTGACCAGGACCCAGACCGGGGAGGAGCCTGCAACCAGTATACTTGCCCTTGACCAGAATCAAACCAGGGACCCTCTGGTCCACAAGCCAACGCTCTATCCACTGAGTCAAACTGGATAGGGCTGTTTTGTTTTTTAAATATATTTTTATTGAGTTCAGAGAAAAAGGGAGTAGGGGAGCGAGAGACAGAAACATCAATGATGAGAGAGAATTATTGATCAGCTGCTCAAGAACTGTTTATATGGTCAGAGGTGCAATCTATAGGCAGCCAAATATAATCACCCACAGATAAGCTCAAATTCTAAACCTGTCTTAGGAAGCCAGGTACATTGTATCCCGCTCTGTGCTTAGTCCTTTCACCTACCTGCAGCCGTGGGTTGGCAACATGAGGATGCTTGAAAGACACCAGCTCTGCAAAGGATTCCCCATCTCTGGTTTCAATTGCTTCATAGACCTGACATTTGAGAAGAGAAAAGCTCAGCAGAAAATAAAATACTCTATTCTAATAGAACCTAAATAACACTTTGTATACCACTAAAATTCATTTTCCCTATTTTGAAAGGAGCAAGAATAAAAATATAACAAGTATTCTCTTTAGCCAGCAAACAATAACTACCTTTCAAAATAAGATCTTTCAAAGGCAAATAAACAGGTGACTTAATATTAAAAACCATGAAAAAGCAGAATAAGCCAGCTTATTATTTGATAATTAATGAAGGTGAATTATTCTAGTTTTACTCAGTCATACCAGCAGACATTTGAAAATTCACTTTCATAGCTTATGGGGAAAAAGAGCTTATAAACCACATATTTCCAAAATTCAAAAGGCTTCCACTCAACCTAAATATAAAAATTGCAATGGCAATGGCTAAATGAATGGTGTCATAGTCATACAACAGGTAACTGTGTGCTGTAAAAAAGGATGAAATAAATCTACATGTAATAACATGGAAAAGTGTTCACAATATGCTTACTGTTAAGCAAAAGGAAAAAAAAAGTTAGCCACAAGAAAACTGTATAACTTGACCTGGGAGAAAAAGAAAAAGTATGTATGACATGTAAGCTCAAGAAGAAATGCAGGACCCATGTCACAGCAGTTGACTCCTTGGCCAGTGCAGTGAGGGCTAAGGAGGCTTTTATTTTATATATTTCTATACTGGAAGACTGTTATAGCAGACATTTATAATTAAAAAAGCAAATGATATTTTAAATTATATTCACCAAAAATGACATAAAAATCCCAACTATATAAGTGAGGAGAAAGCAAAGCATAAAGCTGCATACATATATTAGTACCAGAGGCCTGGTGCATGGATTTGTGCACTGGTGGGGGCATGGCTTGCAGGCATCAGCCCACTGTGGGAGCGCCACTCATCCCTGTTAGCCTAGCAGCTGAGGACCCGCCCTCTGAGCAGCTGCTCCTGCTGTGGGAGTGCCACTCATGCCAGTTAGCTGAGCAGCTGTGGACCCACCCTCTGAACAGCTGCTCCCACTGCTCATCCTGCAGTGAGTGTCTGCCCTCTGGTGGTCAGTGCCTGTCATAGCAATTGGTCGTTCTGGTCATTCTGCTGTTTGGTCACTGAGCTTTTATATACACTGAGTGGCCAGATTATTATGACTACACCATTAGTACTTCGTTGGGCCACCTTTTGCCTTCAATACTGCGGCGATTCATCTTGGCATTGACTCCACGAGATGTTGAAAGGTGATGTGAGGAATCCGACACCATGCCTGATGAATAGCACTGTCCAGTTCTGAGATTTGATGGTTGTGGAACCAGCTGCCTGATGGCTCTTTTAACTTCGTCCCACAAATGCTCAATTGGATTGAGATCTGATGATTGTGGGGGCCACCTAAGCAAGGGAAAGTCTCCCTCACGCTCTTGAAACCACTCCTGCACAATATGAGCACCGTGGCATGGCGCATTGTCTTGTTGGAAGAAGCCATCTCCATTGGGATACGCCATCAACATGATAGGATGAACCTGATCAGCAATTAT